GCAAATAAGTACACTGAAAGCAATTGAAAATAAGCAAAAAAAAAAAAGGAAGACTTGTTGGCTCTCTATATCACACTATTTTTCAGTCATCTTAAACATTATAATGATGACTTTTTGAGGTTTCTATCAGCTAACCTGTAGGACAAGTTCTGTCTCTCTCGTTACCAGGTCCATAACAAACAGATGGAAATTTGTCGGATCTGGCTCTGGTGCTGTTACTCCGAACATTAAACGATCTAAATGACAGATATTTGCTTATTCGTCCATATTTCTATCTCGCCAATAACAAAAATTAAAACAACAAGCTTTTAGCAAAATCTGATTAGGAGTATTAAAAGAAAGGTCCGCTACTATGTAATTATAATAGATCGATCTGCAAAATCTGCCAGACCTCGTCCTTTACTGTAACAAGTCATAAATTTACTCCAATTCAATGTAAAGTAACAATTACAGGAATCGATAAATAAATTAGATATCCGCGAATTTATAGGTCAAAATACTACCACACAGTTTTCATTTTCTGTGAATCAAACAAATTTCCAAGAAATTCCAAGATATGTCAAAACCTTTAGGAAATGGAAATCAATAGGGTAAAGCCCTTAAAACTAAGGCAGATACAGCGAAATTTCATGTCGGAACTCTAAACGCTTTTTCCATGATGTTCGAAACATGCGGTTTGTCGTTACCACGCAACACCAATTCTTCCCCGCTACTCAGAAGTTTCAAAAGTGTTTTAGCTTTGATTAGTACTTTCCCGCAGTAATACGTTCTTACTAGAGATCAGACACTCTGCGTCGGTCGCTCCTCAAATTTGCTACCAAACTGCGACCGTTACCAACGGTCGATGAAAATCTACTTTGACAAGAAATTAAAAGGTGATCGACATCCATCTGCTGTTCATTTTTTTTTCATCCACTAAACTGCGCTCATTTTTTACTACAGTCTAAAAACAAGTTCTTTTTAACTCTATACTCAAGGACATGCAATTTCCGCTGCGCTGTGGTAGACCTATAAAGAATTAGCTGGTTCTCCTTCCCTGTTGCATGCACGTGTCAACCGACTACTGTTCGCTGTGGCACTGAAAGTCCCAAGGCTACAAAATAAATAGTCTTTTTAGACCAGTTCCAAATATAGCTGCTAAAATCTGACGGCGAAATGAGGTGGTCTGCCCCAGTAATGTTTCTTTCCTGGTGATTTATCTTTGTCGAGAAATTTTACAAGCTATAGTCTTATCGTCCAAGTCTTCACAGAAGACTTCCCAAATAATTCATTGGTTTTTCAACCCGTTGCAGCAACGCTATTTTTTTCTTCCACATAAAAAGAGAAGTAACTAAAAATTTACGTTTTTGCATTATAGATAGGAGGTCAAAAAACAAACTTGGGCATAAAAATCAAGACAGAATTCGATGAAAAAAAAGAAAAAGCAATTGGCATTCTATCTGTAATTATCACAGCCCATCAGGCCTTTTTATTGAGTACTGCTTTAGATTAAAATTTTGTAAGCTGAATTTTTTAAATTGGCATATTTTTATGAAACAATCCATTATAAAAGCATTAAGAAATTTACAGTTCAATTCCTTAACAAATATTCAAATCTATTAGTCGCTACGGTCAGTTTAAAACACTACCTTTAATTCTAACTGCATAAACACGTCCAGTACTTTCTGCTTTCATCATCAAAACACCTGTTGTATCTAAACCGCTATCATTCGGTTTAGTACCAGCGTTATAGCATAAAATCCTTTCATTCTCACGATCAGCAACGCATACAATGTCTAGGTCGTCATCTACAGCTATGGAATGAGGCACCAAAAATGCATCATTATCTAGCGATCGCACGTCATCTTTAAATATATAACGATAAACATTTATTTATTTATTTTTGCTATAGTCTGATGAAGTGAGCCCTGAGTAAAATAAGTAACGAGAATCGTTTCTGAAACTAATAACCAAGAAATATTGAATTTAGAATTAAAAAGTATAGAGGAAAAAAATTGACCCGTTAAATATATTGAAGCACTTATTGTTTACTGATTTACTTAATAAAACCTATGGCTGTTAAGCAAGCAAAAAAACTTGTGTGATATATGCCAAACCATTTGATCTTCCAAATGCCATTATAAAATCTCCACGTTCATTGAATTTCATTACTCGGCTGTTACAATATCCATCCGAAACAAAGACGTATCCAATTCGGCTAACAGCAACGTCGGTAGGCATACAGAAATGTTGATCATCAGCACCAGGAACAAGTTTTTCCCCCAGTGTTAATTGAATGTTTAAATTTTTATCCAGTTTGAAGACCTTAAACAGCATTAACCAGTTAATCTAATCAGGCCATGAATTAAGCGCTACGATAGACCAAGCTTATGCAATTTCCCAACGTCAACTTAAAAGCACTAATTTTTCTTTAATATCAAAAATCATTAAAAATTTCTTGTCATTCCATTGAGGAATATAGAGGCCGTTTTTTTTAACGTATAAAAACTGCAATAAGTTTAGCTGTTAATAATTCTGAGCATAATATCTGTTGTCGTTTTTGATTTTTTCCATTTATTTTCTCTTCCTTTTTATTTACTCTACTGTTTTCCCAGTAATTTCGACCCGACTATCAACAATCTACTCCCACCACTTTCCCAAGCCTATTATTATTTTTTTTTAATTTTTATTACTATCATTAATTAATTAATAACAGTTTTGTTAAAATTGTCAATACTATTAATTGTGAACAAAAAAGAAGAAGCTCCCTGCTTGAAAAAACTATTTTATCCTTGAAAATAATTAAATATTATTGATGCATTATAGGTGGTTTCTACAGAGACCTGATGTAACCCGACATCCGTAACCCAGATGTTATTTTTATGATCCACCGATAACCCGTGAGGCATATAAAATTTGTTTTTGCCACCTTCCGTCAAAACTTTTCCGGTTTTACGGTCAACTACAAACAGTGTAGCACCAGCGATCGGTCCAGCTGTGGTGTTAAATACATTTTTCTCATTGAATGATCTGAAAAAGCCCTAAATTGAATATCTGTGTTCTTGTTTACTGCAACCAGTTTGCTAATTGCAAGTAACTATTTTGTTTTTTTGGAAATTGTCATCAAGCAGGAAGTGAGGTGCCATCTAAACAATTTCTTTATAAATTCATTTTGATTAACCAAGTAGCAAGTTTAACCTAGAATTCCACGTACGATCAGCACGATGAAATATTATCAAATTGTCATCTTTATTGATAGCAATACCCGCAACTTCACCCACCGTTTTCGAAATCGGCAATGTTCGGAACTGTAAAATTAATTTTGCAAAAATAAAGAGAAAAAAAAAACACATTTGTGTGGCAACCACTTAAGGATTTTTTTTTTTTGAGAGCAACTTAAATCAC